GAGTCAAGATCAACCTAAAAATGCTTAATGTAACACATTTACTCTTTCTACAGGGTAGTAGTTCTATACAGATGACCCTTTCAGAAGTGATGTCAGTAAGCAAAAGATATTGCAGAATAAAATTCTAAGACGAAACTAATAAGTAGGTTTTGAACAATCTTCTGCACATAGTTAACAGTAATGCATGTAATTTTAAAGAGCTACACAGACAATAGACTGTAGTTGGCACCACTGTTAATAGATTATTCCACTAACAACTGTTGGTACCAGAATAAGGCAATTTGTTTAAATTGGTTTAAATAATGACATTCTGACCAAGTCAAATAGACTTTTGCTGAATTATAAACTTGTGCTGAATTCTGAATTTCTACATTAAAAAGTTATATATTGAACTCTGAGGCTAGATTTGTTAAAATAAAGTAATTGCTTATTTTATCATTAGTGACAGGATTCACAGAGATATATTCTGCAATAACTCAGACCTCTTAAAATTCTTTTCCTAGGAAATAGCCATAAGCAGATTAATTGAGTTCCTGCCTGGATATCTTTTGATTTGAAATGGGTATGACATTCATTAAAATAATTTAAAGAATCTCATACAATGAGTGGGCTGGTGATGCCTAAAGGAGCAGACACTGGTTCTTCACCCACTTGGCACACAACTAAACTTCTAAACTTCTGTTACTTTTTTAGAGTAGCATACTGTAACTGGTGACAAATGAAATATTTAGAGATAATCAGTAGCCTAAGGAGCATATCCTTCAAGATCCTAAAAGCTGGTGATAAACCAAAGTTGAAAGCTATGGTATGGAACACTGATTTCCTAAGACACCTGACTGTGGGAAAGAACAGGCAGTCTATGGACAATAAAATTCTAAGGAAGCACACATTTTGGCATGACACACAAAGCATGTGTGCTGAAATGATAAGGAGTATATAAGGAAAGCTAATTAGTCATTGTCACCAACAAAATGACATGGAGAAAGACATGGAATATTCCAGGTTAGGCTGTGAGGGAGCAAAATTCTAACAATTGGATGACAACCTGTGTGTGTGTGGGGGGGGGAGCTTGGTAACACTTGGTAACACATTTGCTTCTAATAATGTTTAAAAACGGCAGTTTTTTTTTTATCATGGTTATATAACTATGCCTTTGACCGTGTGTTGCAATTCACATGCTCATTCCATCTGGGATTAGTAAGCAGCTATGGTATAAAAAGCAATTCAGTCTCATTCAGTATAATTCAAAATCTGATCTGGATTGAAAGAAATAAATCATTGATGAAATCCCATACTGCCTGTAGCCAACTGAGTAAAATATACAGAATGGTATTGAAAAACCTGCCTTTAGTTTAGCCTTCGGTTAACTAAAAAATTGGAGTTACTCAACTTTTCTCTGCCTCCATTTCCTTCCTTACTTATTAAGCAGACGACATCAGTAAAACCTAATTATTCAAGGGTGTTTTGCATATTCAACAGTTAATTATCTCCAGGGTCCAAGATAGTATCTAGCATGTTACTGGTACTATTTATATATTCCTTTCTAAGTCATATAACTTACTCCTCTGGAGTAAGGGGATATTAGAATCTCTGCTGGCTTTAAGAGTGGAGAAAGGTCCAAGCACTGGTACTGGTGGCTCATGCCTATAATCCTAGCTCCTGAGAACACTGAAATCTGAGGACCATGGTTTGAAGCCAGCCAGGGCAGAAAAGTCCATGAGACTCTTACTCCAATTAAGTATCAAAAAAAAAAAAAAAAAGCTGGAAGTGGAGCTGTAGCAAGTGGCAAAGTTTTCTCTTTGAGCAAAAAAAAAAAAAAAAAAGAGCTAAGGTGTAGCACTGGATCTGAGTTTAAGCCCTAGGACCTGTGAATCCCCCTCCCCCTCCCCCTCCCCCCTCACTCACCCAAGAATAAAGGTGCAAAACTTCACAGTTTATCCAACAGTTATTCTTCTTCTCCTCCCCACCATATCCTACCCAGTGAGCTAGATTACTTCTTAGTTTCTCTTGTTAAATGAAAAAATGGAACTAAGAAAATTGTGAGGAGAAGTGGGGATGGGAGAATGATCAGAAGGGTGACACAATCAAGATGCTTTGTACTCATAAACTGACATGTTGATTAAACCCCTCCGTGAAACACTTACAAATAATTTAAAATATTAAAAAAAGAAAGTCAGACACTGGGGGCTCATGTTTTTAATTCTAGATACACAGGAGGCTGAGACATGAAGCTCACAGTTCAAAGGCAGCCTGGGCAGGAAAGTCCATGCGACTCCTATCTCCAATTAACCACCAGAAAACCAGAAGTGGAGCTGTGGCTCAAAGTGGAAATGTACTAGCCTTGAGCACAAATGCTCAGGGACAATGTCCAGGCCTCACTACCAACAACAATAAAAAGATATCAGATGGGAGACGAACAGTTCCTAACCATCTCCCCCCAACCCCCAGCCCCGCAAAAAAAGATTCTCTTTCTGGCATCCTGTTTAAAAAGAATCTCTTTTGTCCTTAACTTTGCAGTCAAGTTGGATTAGAAGTGACCAGTCACTCTTTAGCAGATAATCAGCCCCCTTCACTCATACAACCATTCCTATTTAGGCCTCAGTCAAAGTGGAAGCTTAAGAGTTCTCAATTTAAGTACTGAATTTTTGTCCAAAGAAACTACTCACATGGATTCCTATTTCTGTGTCCCTGCAAGGTAATTCTTGTTAAAATAAATATAAATGTCTATGACTAACATATGCCCTTAAAGTTTATCTAATGCAACCATAATTATTGGTTTTTACTGAATTTGGATTGACCTTTGGACCAGAAGACCTGTGAGAAAACATAAAAATTAGAAAGCTAGGGACCGGAATAAAAAGAGATAACCAAAGTCTCTAACAAGCTTGCTAAAGAAATGTTCAAAATTGATTTAGTACTCATGAATATCCTAGACAAAAGTCAGGATGAGAGCCTGCATCAGCAAACAGAAGTAATCCATATTTTGTTTCAAAATGCAAGTAAAATAAAAATATCTCTTATGTGCACAACTTACAATGTACTAGACAAGTAAATCTTCAAAATTAGATAATTTCCTCCATACAGATCATAGATTTATATAGTTATAAGACATTATTTTATTAGAATTCTTTTAAATATTTAGTAAGTGACAAAGCAGTTTTGTTATATCCATTTCATATAAAATTTTAGGAAAATAATTATGATTGACAGCATTAATAAGTACCATTATACTCTTCTTACTACCTTTTTAAGTATATACTTAAACTCTTATTTTAGTGTAAAGAATAGCATATATAATTGATTTTATATGTGCTATTTAATTTTTGCTTTCTAACAAATTAATTTTATTTTTAAATGTAATTTGCATAAATTATACAAAGGGGCTTCAATTTGATATTTACAACTTGTACATAATGTACTTGTATCAAATTCACTCCATCTATGTTGTTCTTAGAATATTGCTCTTTAGCTTTTTCTAATGACATTACAATGTTAACTAAAGTGTCAGCTTATATATGCAAGGGCTTTCATGCAGAACACTAAAGTAACTTATTCTCAAGCTTTAAGAAATACAACAGTGGCTTGTAAGTAAGGAAACTTCTTATTACATTAGACATTCTGTCTAAAAAAATAATATGGGCCAGATCTCATCCTTGTTTGTTTTTGTTGGTCGTAGGGCTTGAACTCAGGGCCTGGGTGCTGTCCCTGAGCTTCTTAATGCTCAAGGCTCTACAACTTGAGCCACAGAGCCATTCCTAATTTTTGAGTGGTTAATTGGAGATAGGAGTCTTACAGGGACTACTCTGCCTGGGATGACTTCAAACCCCAATCCTCAGATCTCAGCCTCCTGAGTAGCTAGGATTATAGCTGTGAGCCACCAGTGCCCTGCTTGCTCCTGCTTGCTCCTTTGTTTTCTAAAGTTAAAAAACAAGCCCTATTTTTTAACAGCTGAATCTAAAAATTACTACACTCAGATATTAATACAGAAACATTTGAGGTAAGTAACCCAAATCTAGTCTCACTGGCACCTTGTCAGATTATAAAGGGTCTAAAAAAAAAAAAAAAGATTGTTTTAGTTGGGCGCTGGTGGCTTGTGCCTGTAATCCTAGCTACTCAGAAGGCTGAGATCTGAGGATCATGATTTAAAGTCAGCCTGGGCAAGAAAGTCTGTGAGACTTATCTCCAAAGAACTACTAAAAAATCAGAAGTAGAGCTGTCACTCAAATGGTCAGAGTGCTAGCCTTGAGCAAAAAAGTTCAGGGAGTACTTGAGCACACACATAAAAAGATTCTTTTAGTAAAACAAGCACACTGAATAGAGAGGCAAAACACATACACAAACAATTGATTTCTTGAGAAATAGCTATGCCAACAACATAAATTTTAAAATAATGAAGTAAGGACTGAAGTAAAATTGTCCTCAGAGGAGGAAATAAATGTATCAACAATTGTACTGCTCTTATTATCTGCCCAGATGGATGTGCCACATGAGACCCAGCGAATGGGCTTATGAATGACGACCTACTGTTAAGTAAAGCAGAATGCTAGTCCACCTTCACAAGAAAATCAAGTCAAGTGAATGAGACTGTATCTCACCTAAACATGAAGTCTGAATTTAAACATGTGTCAACAAATTATAAGGTAAGAATGGAGAACAGCAGCAGAGAGAGAGAGGAGAAAAAACAAACAAGAAAGGAGCCCCCAATATGTTTTATTTGAATGTATCCTTCTACATAATTTAAATGGCTGATCTACAGTTTCATTTTAATGATATATTCCTGTCACACAGGACCTTTTAAGAGTTGTGTAATCAACTTCTAATTAGTTTATAATTACTCCCGTATGATGGCTACAGGGCTTTAGAAGGGGACTGGGAATGGTGGATGCCCGAGGCTTAAGCTTAGCAGTTCTATACATGGCAACAAGTTTTTGAACATGTCTGTATGACAGGGTCTAAGGTCTGATTTCAAACAGTTGCTACTAGCAAAGGATGTGCCTTACCATACAAGTATCCAGATCTTCTAAGCGCTCTACCTCTGTTAGCTCCTCCACTGTGACAACAGAGCGTTTCACTGGCTTCTCCTCAGCCAGTTCGATTTCTAGGGACTCTTGATGAAGAAGAGCTTTGCTGCGTCTGCTGAAATGGTCTGCCTGTAGGTAGGATTGAGACCATACAAGGAGAAATTAAAGCATAGGGGACAAGGAAAGAGCTGGTTAGTCTAATTTCTGAAGACATCGTCCACAAGATGGCGCAGTGGAGCACTAACTTGGCAAGTAGTTAAAGACAATAAAGCTCAACCAGTGTTACTTCACCTCTTTCATTCTCTTCCTTTGTAGAACACCGTTTTAAGCAAGAAATTACAAACCTCATAAATAAGGAGACTACTTATCCTTGAATAAAATAAGTAGTTCTCTTTTTAGTAGTTTTGAAAGAAACTCCTTTCTATACTAGTGCATATATATATATGTATATATATATATATAGCGAAATGAGTTTTAGCTTGCATTATTTTTAAAAGACTGAAGGAAAGAAATCACCAAAAAGTTTTATGTCTTGCTACCTTTCATCATTTTCATGTAAGGAAAACCAAATTTTATATGAATTGTTATTTCCACTGTTATGCTTTAGGCATATACCAAAAAAATTAAATGGTATCAAGGTAGAATGAGCTGCATGAACTTCAAAAGTTCCAGAATTGAGCTGATTTGACATCAGAAACTTTTAGTTAACTCTTCTGAAACAGTGAGAAGCAGCAATATGTCTGTGATTGTGTTGGGAACACTTCTAAACTTAAATTGGAGAAAAATGGTATCTAAGCATGATAGAAACCAAGTTCCATTTTGAAGATGCTATCTTATTCATACAGCATCTACCCTTTTTGTCATACAAACCCACAGTATGGATATGAACATGAAGTTCAAAATAACACAGAAGTGTATTCTCACAATTCCCTTTCAACTGAAGACAGAAAACGTCAATACTTTTGGAGTAAATTCTTCAATGAAGGGGACAAATATGAAAAGGTGAAAAATTTAAGGTTCCAATGCAGTTCTCAAGTGCAGACTTATGCTGATTCAGCATCCAGTGTTTGTGTCATTTTGAGGTATTTCCTGGAGCTGAGAGACATCAATAAACTGAGACATCAATTAACTGTTGCTAAAAGAAACTTTCTATTGATTTTGTTTGTGCTTATTTTTTCTTAAGTCTCAATTGAGAGCTTGAAACATTGAAGTAGCTCTTTACTGTGCCAGGAACTAGAAAATAGTGCTGCTGTAATGTAGCTATATATGTATATCTCAATTTGGCACAAACCAATATATTGATAAAATACAATAAACAGAAAATTTAGAAAAATAATGTGTTTGGATTCAGTGCTTATGTCAAACTGCCCTGTTCGTTTCTAAGCAAGTGAATGCTTATGAACTAGTAATCACTTATTAGTGGGACCAGTTCCAGTCCACATGCAATATTCTGAGCAATACTAACAGATGTCTTATCTTTTTTTTTGTAGGAAATAGTCATACATTGCTCTCATTTATCTGCCTCACATAAAGAAACTGTAGCTGTTTTTTTCATTTTAGTGTCCTTTATGGTATCCCCAAATTCATTGTCATAAAATGGGTTCTCTCCATCCTGCACCGTTAGCTTAAAAGTCTTTCTCTGGAGAAAGCATTGTAGTAAGTTGCTTAGGAGAGTTTTGATATTTTGGAGACATACACACAGTTATAAAACCTTAACTGTGTGGCTGGGAAGGTGGCTCAGTGGTGGAGTACTTGCCTTGCATGCATGAGGCCCCGGGTTCGATTCCCCAGCACCACATAAGCAAAAAGAAAAAAGCTGGAAGTGGCGCTTTGGCTCAAGTGGTAGAGCGTGCTAGCCTTGAGCTGAAGAGCTGAGGGACAGCGCCCAGGCCCAGAGTTCAGGCCCCACGACTGGACCCCCCCTCCACCCCCCCAAAAAAAAACCTTAACTGCTCCAGAAGACTTCTGGGCCACATTCCTAGCTCCCTCCAAAATTTTTAACCTGCATGAAACATGAGCACGATTTCTAGATATGATCTCTTTTGTTTTCCTTTGCCATTTCCTCTAAAGAAATCCTAATGCTTTCCAGAATGTCTAGAAACAAAGGATAAAAGGAAGGAGGAAATCAGGATCTTTTCCCATAAAATTGTGAAGAAAGGAAATACAGAAAAGAAACCACACCTCCATATATCACAAAGGAACGATAACAGGAGCCCTTGCTTATGATGTGCCCTACACTTACCAGCTTATGATGGCAGTGTGAGAGTGCATCTAGGATTTCATCCACAATCCGATCAGACAGGAAGGAGGCCACTGTCAGCTTCACTTCACTGTGTGAAAATTAAAGGGAAAGAGTAGCATTTTAATTTGTGCAAGGGAGAAAAAAACGCTTATTCACCTTGATCCTGTGCTGGTAAGGTCAACAACTGTGATTCCATTTCTTTCTTTGAAAATGGAATGCAAGAATGTGTGAACAGGGCTAGAGATTTCCAAAAATAAGCTTTAAACACTGCCATAAACACACAGATAATAGACTTTCTTTACCTATTTCAACCTGCCTCTAAATTTAAAACTCAGGATTTAATGGCAGGAATGAAAAACATCTGGATAGAGACAAATGTAATGGCAACCATATGAACCATGTGGCATGGTACAATTCACCCATTGACATAAATGAAAGCAAACCTAGGCTGGAGTAAATTAAGAAAGTCTAGCCTGGTTGCTAAGTCATAGCTATTACTTTAATATGTGTATCCCTCACCCTTTGAAAAAAAAAATCTTTCACCAAATGGTACCGTATTATACCATTTCTGTTTTGACTTGCCATCTTACTGAAAATACACTGTACCCCTATCTTTATAAATACTACAATTTCCAACTTGGGTGACTCTTGTCTGAGCTCAGACAATTGCTCAGACAACATAAAGTTGTAATTTTCATTATTAAACAAACTCAGTCATTAAAAAGTTTCTACGGGAGGCTGGTATTTTAGTTCACAGTTCAGCCATGTGATGATACTCACAACAATTCAACTTCCATGCGTGTTTTCAAGCTAAGGAATCCCACTTACACGCACATATGACCAGATGTCCATAATTACACAGTACTTTTAAAGGAAAATGTGAGGTATTGTCTCACAAGCTCAGCCTCCTTTTAAAGCCAACAAATGACTTTTTTCCTCTATCAGAGCAAGTAAAAGAGTTGCCAAAACAACATGTGTTAATCCTAAAATTAAAGTTGAAAGTACATGTGTGTAATGGGAAAAAGATCTTTTAAACCTAAAGGCAATAATGTGCATTGATTATTTCTGTTGGGGAAGATTTCTATGAGTAGGACAGCAGAATGTAAGTATTGACTATGGTGTCTACACTAAAAACTCACCGGAGCTAAAAATAAAAGGAGGTCTCTTTAATTCTTTTACATGAAAGGAAGTCTTACTACATTTATTTTACCTAATACTTTACGAGTTATTACCCAGAGGTATCCACTGGTAAGACTTACTTGGGTCTCATATTCAATATAATTTTAACAAGAATTTCCTCTGATATTTTTGTAAGCCTGGAAAGTGCCCTTCGTTGTGAAATTCTCAATTCTATACCTTGTTTCTGTCTCATCTCTTCTTTGAAAGTAAGGAGGAGTGATTTACCTATTTCAAATTGTAGCACCAAGAAGCAAAACTCAGGAAAAATACATTTTAAAATGTCTTGGGATTTTTCAGTTTGCAAAACTTTTCAAAAACTTGGGTAACCTTAATCTGCATGTGCACACATGTGTATATGAATATAAATCTCCTTGTGTGCTTGTGTTGATATTTTCATTCAGTTCATGCTCAGTTTAGCACAATAGATAAACAGCCAAATAAAGAATCAATGGACATAAAATTGATTGACCAAAGTGAAGAGTCTTATCTTTCCCTTTCAAAATTTGTACATTGTTTTATGGAAGTGACCATATTTGACAGAATTTGATGCATTATAGTAAAGGTATCAGAATACACTCCATTGGAGATTGATCCTATTACTATAACAGAATGGAGGCCAATAAAATTTTCTTGCTTATTAAAGGTGATATCAATATTAACGATATTTTTATCTTAAACATATTAACCTTTCAATACTTATTTTCACTTAAAAAATTCTGAAGCAGCAGGTAACAAAAGTATGTTTACTTACCTTGTTAAAGGCTTTAATTCCTAAGATCACTAACTATGGTATCTAAGAAACTCTCTGAAAAACTTAAAAAGTTTTCTAATCTTTCCAGCTATATTTCAACTGAATAGGCTCTAGGAGCGTTATTTATTCAAACAACAAACCCTAATATCTCTATCTTCAACCTGAGACTGTCAACCAGCAACTGTCCAATCGCTGTAGAATTCCTAAATCCTCCTGTAAGGCTTCAGTATGTAAATAATGATTTAATCTTTGTCTTGTTCTGTTCAGGCTGTCATTTTTTCTCATAGATTGTAACTTGGCTGCATCATTATTGCTAGATTCATTCCCAACTCTCCAGACAAGTGTGACTATTCTTCTGCTACAACCAAACATTCTTATCAATATTCCAAAATAGCTTCAATAGGAAATCAAAAGTATTTCTGAACTTTCTCCAAGGAGGAGACATACAATTAGCTGAGTTTACAATGGAAAACTGATGATCACCAAGAAACTCTAAGTAAAAATTAAGGAAAATTTGTCAGTGATCATGGCTCCTAAATATTTATATCTCGGCATATTTTTCAAACTGTGACAGCACTAGTATACACATAACACTGCAGACACATCAAAATAAACCAGAAGGCAAACATGGTAAGGTCAGAGTGGGCCTCTGCCTATTTATAGGCAGTGTGTTTGCTCACAAAAAAAACCATGGTGATAGAACGCAAACTGCCCTCAGCCTTCAAGCTAGTCATTTAGAAAGATGAAAGATAAACCCCAGAGGCAAACACAAGGAATTAAAAACACATACACCCCTTTTAACTATAGAGCCCTTAAAAACAGCCTAAAACTAGGCTCTTCAGTAATGCATATAGATAGCCTTATTTTGGAAATGGTAAAACTACGCATTTATGCACAACTATATACATAGAGAGACAGTCTCTGCATACTAGATATGCCTAAACACATTACATATGGATAAAGCCACTCTTTCCAGCTGCCTCAACTGCATTCAGACACTGTAGCTCCTTGCTTTATCAACATTATAAACCTACCTAATTTTGTTAAGGATATCAATTCCAGACTGCTCCAACAGGACATTTTTAACAAAGGTACGTGGAATAGAAATCTTTTCAGTGCTGGCATGAATCAAGTCTTGTCGAATGTGGGCTTTTTTCATCACATTGGGACAAAGGTTCTCAGCGGCATCAACCATGGATTCGAGTAAAGCCTGCAATGCAGCAGAGTGCAGGAGAGATGATGACACTGCACCGGAGGCAGGACCGTAAAACTGAGAGGTGGTTATATACGACACAGAGCCTGAGAGTCCTGGGTGCGATCAAGGATTTTCAGCTGCCCCAGGGTGACTTTGTGAGCACTGGATGATCACCGATCTCAGGTAATCATTTTAGGTCAGACACTTCTCACAACACACAAGCTTCCTGCTGCTATCTGAAGTGTTGTATTGAGAGGTGAATTTAACAGAAAGCCATGAATGAGAGGATTAACAAATATGAAGATCCAGCCTTTGTGTACTAACTTACCAAGCCAGAGTGTTCTCCCTGGTGCTAGAAAATAAACATGCAGAGATGAACCTCAGATCTAAAAATATCTCTTAAAAAACTATCAGTTTTGAATGCATGTGAGTCTCAAATCACACAAACTCCAAATTAGGGCAAAGCACTCAATAGCTCCATTAAACCAGCAGCAGCAGAAAAATCAGAGAAACTACTGCCAATTTTAGATTCTTTTTTTTTTTTAAAGAAAAGTCTTAGTGTTAAGTAAAACAGTAATTATGATAACTACAATAAACAACATGAATAATAACAGACAAAACATTTACAGAGCACTTTATAAACAACATTAATAGTAATAATCAAAACACATTTGTATAATACCACAGAATCGAAGGAACATTTCTTCACATTTTCTCCTTTCAGCATCTGGGGGGACAGACAGCGCTTCTATTTCTGGGATCCTTGTTTTACAGTTAGGGAATGTGAGCTAAAGGAGGTTAAACAATTTGCTGGAGACAGATAATAGGACTGAAAAGCGTGGTAAGGACATTAGCCTTTGTGTCAGACCTGAGTTTGCAACCTGAGTGACAATATGTGAAGTTACTGATCTCTAAGAACAAAAAGTTTTCACTTCATAGGATTATTGAGGATTGAGTGATCCTACTTATGTAAAGGTTTCAGAGAATGTATAGCTCGCACGGGAAGAGTTCAGGATATTATAGGTCTGAGTAGTCATCTGATTTCTGAGACTACTCTTACTACTCCCTCCCCCACCCAGGAGTGGGGCTTGAATTCACGGTGTGGGTGCTGGCTTTCAGCTTTTTCACTAAAGGCTAGTGCTCTAGCTACAACTCGATGATTTTTAATGGTTAATTGGTCTCTCACAGACTTTTTGCCCAGGCAGGCTACAATCCTTATATCTCAGCCTCCTGAATAGCTAGGATTACAAGAGTGAGCCATTGACACTGGGCTGATTTCTAAGACTACTCTTAATGATTAAAAAAACAAACAAACTAGATTTTTCAAAGACAGGCTGAGATGTTATTTCTGTTCTGGTGTAAGCAAGGACCTATCTAGGTTTGTAAATGAAAGACTAACTGAGTCATCTAGTTGCCCACATATTCATAGGCAAACTCCAACCCCATTAATAAAGCCTCTCATCATACCAGAATAAGCAACAAAATGGAAGGCTGTTCATAAGGATCTCCTAGAGCCCCGGGGAGAAGAGTAAAAGGCAGCTGCCTCTAGAGAAGTTTAGAAAAGGCATTCCTATTTATTTATTTATTGCCAGTACTGGGGCTTATACTCAAGGCCTGGCTCTCTCCCACTGAGCCACACCTTTTTGGTAGTTGAGATTAAGTCTCATGGACTTTCTGGCGAGGGCTTTTAGACTAAATTACAGGCATGAGCCATTGGTACCAGGCAACCAATCCTATTTTGACAACTCTCTGTCCCTACTATAACTCTGTTCTAACCATCAATGATTTAATACATTATTCAGGAAAGCTCCTACACCACGCCTCTGCAGGGGACAACAACACATCAGTTTAAGACCAAATAGTGTACTTTCTTCTTGGGCATAAACAAACACAATAGTACAACAAATCTGAGAAGAGCGAGCTTGAGTAAAACTATTAGTCACCTATCAGCTGCATTGTGATTGCTCTTCCTGCTTGGCAGTGCTAATTCCCTTAGAATAAACTCCAGATGGAAAGAGGTGGTCTGCCTTCCAGTGCCAAGAAATTGCTGTGGGCTGTGAAGTGAGTTGAGGTAAGTAAATAAACAGATTTTGCACTGTCATCTAATCCAACTTTGCTCTAGAAATTCATGATCACATGGCTTGGGTCTTATAAAAAAAAATGTCAGCTTGTCTTAGGGGATTTTTTTATTTCCTAGTCCTGGGGAGGGCCTGAGCGTCTTTTGCTCAAGACTAGCACTCTACCACTTGAGCCACAGCTCTACTTCCTGCCTTTTTTTTTTTTTTTGGTAGTTATTGGAAATAAAGAGTGTTATAACCTTTCCTGCCTAAGCTGGCTTTGAACCATGATCCTCAGATCTCAGCCTCCTGAGTATCTAGGATTATAGTGTGAGCCACCAGCATCCAACTGCCTTAGGAAGTTAATTCAACAAATATTTTGCTGTTAGGTCCCTTACCATGGCCTATATTGTAACAATGACCAACCAACAATATAATATAGAAGGTTCCACTCTGCAAAGTCATTTCATCCATGATTTCTTTCAATTCACAAAGTGGCAAATGAGGGTGATTTTTCATGACCCTATTTTATAAAGGAAGAAACTGGGGCAGAGAAGATAAATGACGTGCTAAAGGTCCCAAGCTTGTGGTTGGAAGTGGGTAAATTGGGGCCTCAGGTCTTCTGTTTCCTTGTTTTCCTTTGCTAGTGGTCCTGTCCAGTGTCTAAAGGAAACATCACCCCTTTCTTTCTGCTTCACCCCCTATGATTTTCCTCCCCTGCCAACCCAGTGGTACCCAAAGCTGACGGTATATATTCTTTGATAGCAGGGCTGGGAGAAATATCACAGGACATGTAGCTTTCAGTCCAGGTTCTTAGACAGGATCCCCTTCCAAGTCCCATGGCACCAAATCCTGTTCATCAATATCCACCCTTCCCATGGCTTTCAATGACTACTTTTGTTCCAATGCAACTCAAGTAAACATGTTATGTATAATACAGCAGGGTGTTTAAAGGAAATGCCATTGGCCTGGCCAATCCCTGTGACAACCAAAACTAACCTAGCACTTCCTTCTAATGACCTCTAAGAATGTAATAGTGCATCTGTTTCAGTGGCTTCATTAGAAATTTTTAGCATGCATGCTATATTTCATGTCTAAAGCAACATTCTCCAACAGAACATCTGGGAGGAGTTTCTGTGCTAGCCAACTGGGGATCACTAGCCCTGTAGGACTACTTAAGCACCTGGAATTTGAATTTCACATTTGATTTGATTTTAATTTAAATAAACTATGGCTAATGGATAACATTAGGCTTAATATTTCACTTTTAATTAAGGACAGTGGGAAGTTGGCTTAATATTTCACTTTTAATTAAGGACAGTGGGAAGTTTTAACTTAACTTCATTATGACTTACAAACTCATTTCTAGCACTGTGTTTGCTTTTTCTTATAAACACTTTGGACATGAATGCTGGTTCTACAAAAGCATGTTTCTAATTAAGCCACAATTGACTTCCCCTGCTCCCTTGTCTTTCTTGCAGATCAGATCTTTTCCTTTCTCCCAAAGTGTATCCTTTGGCTTTCTTTTTTTTTTAATGTCACCTAATGAGAGTAAAGTATCTAGTTGTATCTAGTATCTGGTTTTGTTTGTTGTTTTTAATGAAAATACCTTTATCTAGTCCTCATTCACAAATATTAGGTCCAATAAATATACAGTTTGCAGGTCCTCTCAGAACTCTGGAAATATTATTCCGTTGTTTCATGCCTTTAACAATTGAGAAGTAAGCTGTCAGTTTTTGGTACAGGGACTGAACTGGAGGCACTATGCTTACCAAGCAGTTGGCATCAGTCCTTTTGTTTTTAATCTGTTTACCAGATAGTTACATGCTATCTTTTGCTTACGTTGGTTTTGAACACGATCTATCACTGCCTCATGAATAGCTGATTGTAATCAGCTGGTTTGAACATGGGCTTTTATAATCAATTATAAAAAGCTTCCCCATCTCTCACCTTGGACTCCTTTTAAGACCTCTTCTTCTTCAGTGTTCCACTTTTCATGATGATAACTCTCTAGACATGGGTTTGCTTTAGTTGCTTGGGCTTCACAGGGCTTCCTGAAACCCATCTCTGAATATCTCAGCTACTATCTCTTCAAAAATTGCCTTCTCCCATTTTCTTTCCCTCTGGAAAGCTAAACCAGGCTAAATTTACTCTACCCATCTTTCTGCACTTTTCTCATATATTCTTCATTTTGTTAGTCTGTGTTTTATTACCTTCAGACATTTTGCAATGAGTAAAGGCCCTGAATTTGAAAGGTATCAATCAGATTTTATTGTTCTAATGATAGTCAGGAGGGTGTGGCTTTGTCTAGAGCTGGCCTTGGATAGCAATCTTTCAACCTCCACCTCCCACTCAGCTGGTATAGGCCACCACATCTGGCTCAGTTTTTTTAAAAAGGTATTGCTAACTTTTTGCTTCAGGCTGGCTTTGAACCATGACCATCCCACCTCTAGATGTATATTTCTTAATTGTAAAAAATGACTATTGGTACTGAAGAAATCTATACAATATGTGTAAAACAAATTGGATTAATATCTTAAGATGTCAGCTATACTCACGTACTCTGAAGCAAGCCGATGACTTGCAAATATAAGTTCCAAACCAAAATGTTCTGAAAACTTTCATCCTCTTGCTTTGAGAACATAAAATGTAGGAAAAGGAAAACTTAGAGAACTCTTTCTCTTAGCCAAACTGAGTTAGTACTTGACAAAATGCCACCTAAACCCTTCAGGTCTCATATCCTAAGTAAATCTGAAATTTACCAGGGAAGTATTTCACCATGTAAGTCTTGAGTGAAGTCAAGAATTTCTCAGGCCAAAACAAACACCCTGAATTTTAAATCCAGAAGGGAAAAAAATGAAAGTTTCCTTATGTTAAAACACTCAAATCCCATTACTACATTTACTATATTACTCCAGGAGTAAATGTCAGAATAAAAAGACAGAGAAAAGGAGACTTGTTATTCTAAAACACTTAAAACAAGCTGGTCCTAAGAAAACATCACCTCATTCAAGAAGTTTCTCCTGACTTAATGCTCCTGTAAGAAGTCTAGGCTTCTTTGGCCATTTCTTTTGCTTTCTGAAATAATACTTTTGAAAGATGGCTCAAAGAGCTACTTGAACTTTTTCCTCATCCAACATTTAAAATGCTCATTACGGGCTACAACACAAAATGATCAAGATTAAATGCCCTGATTATCATAAAACAAAACAATTTGTGCAAGGCAACTTGATCATAAGAAACTTAGGCAACAACCACAATAGCTTAATAGCTATATACATATGCTCATATAAAATGATGCTAACTAAATGAACTCCAAGATAGGCAAACAAGAGTTTTGTTTTTGTTTGTTTGTTTTAATGTACTTTGTGACATTATTTCTTTTTTTTTTCATTTTTTCTCCTTTGGTTTATCCCCTGTTGTCACTGTTTTTTATTTTGGTACCCTGTATCTTGTATGTACATTTATTTGATTTGGGGAAGGAAAGGAGAATAATAAAATGGTGAGAAAAAGGACAAAGGGTGTACCAATGCAACAGTGATACTCACAAGACCCTATAATGGATATGAACTTTACAATTTGAGGGGGAGGAAAAGTGGGAGAAAAACAAGGAAGGGGGTAATAATGTTTGAAAAGGAATGCACTCATTACCTTACTTATATAACTGTCACCCCTCTATACATCACCTTTATAATAAAATATATTTTTAGTAAAGAAAGTTAGTCAATGGCTTATAGCACATACTGAAGCCATGTGTAAATCCAGGACACAAGTCTAGGCCTTCCCTTTACTTTTCTTCCATTCTCTATAATATTTTTTTTTACATAATAACAATTATCTTTATTGTGAAATAATGAACCCAGGTTAGCGCTTGCTCATTTAATATACTTCTAGAAACCATTGAAATTAGGAAATTTGATATTAGTGAAATAAGTAAGGATTATCATTGTTGAACAAAAATTGAATGCTGCTTGTATTTACAAAAATTTCCTTATATAATTTTAAGAAAACCAATGCAGGGTAACTATAAATAGAAAATGGATTGTTTTCCAAACAGTAAAAGCTATTCATTTGTCAGATAAACTGGAAGAAAACAGAAACAAAACAAACTGCCTATGGCCTGTGAAATTAAACATGTGCGTGGGTAAGGGAAAATGAAGAAGGAACATTTGATTAAGAAGTTCTTATTCACTTTTATCATGATGGATATTCCCAAAGATAAAGAAGCCTAAAATTCAGAAGGAGAGAGAATATTGAAAATGGGGGTAGGTGAGGTGGGTAGATATGAGGAACAAGCCATCCCCACTGGGCATGGAGAAATTAGTGAGACTAAGAGAAAAGTACATTAATGTGCTTGCAAATAAGAAAATAGCAGATGAATGCCAAATATTTAACAAGGCATCAGAAAAGCCAATGACAAAAAAAAACAGAGAATGCCTATTTACAGTAAAATCTTTGAGATGCTATATATTACATTATCTCAGGTTTGTTTTTTAATGCATTTTTAAATGTATTTTTTCTTCAGATACCAGCCTTCTAGTCCCTCCCCAGAAAACCTAACTTTGTATGTCACAAAGTACAAGAATACAGAAGGCAGGGGGATCATCTCTGAGTTAGACCTCTTGGAGCAGCAATTGAAAGTTTGAAGCTGTTTGACAGGAAAGGTCACCATACAATGCTTTATGCTGATTTAAATGTCAGCCAAATCTGACTATGTAAGAAATTCTCACAAATACTTTAAAGGAAAAGCAAACATTAGGTAATGAACATGTAATTTACAACAAAAGAAATACCAGTTGATGGTACAGGTACTTGATATATCAATGAATATTAAAGAAATTCAAAAGACAGAGATTATTTATAGTCCTATTACATTACAAAGATTAAAAGTGATATGCTAAAAATGTAGCCAAAAGAATAATTGTCTGTATTGCTGGACTCAAGTTTGCAAGTGTGTATGAAAGTATAAAATATGTATAGTATTTTACATAGAAGTATCACTTATAGGAAGTAAAATTAATCAGAAATTATAGAATAAATTATGACAGTGCAGCTATACAAAAGAATACCATGTAGTTATAAAAACATTTAGGGCTGGGAAGGTGGCTCAGTGGTAGAGCGCTTGCCTTGCATCCCTGAGGCCCTGGGTTCGATTCCTCAGCACCACATAAGCAAAAAGAAAAAAAAGAGCCAAAAGTGGCACTGTGGCTCAAGTGGTAGAATGCTAGCCTTGAGCTGAAGAGCTGAGGGACAGCGCCCAAGCCCAGAGTTCAGGCCCCACGACCGGACCCAAAAAAAAAAAAAAAAAAGAAAAACTAACATTTATACTACTAGAACTGCATTCATGACATGATGCCAAATATAAACGGTGACTACTAATCATTATGTATAGTATAATCACATAGATGTAATATTTTCTATGTAGGTACAGAATGTCTCAAAATGCACTAAATTATTAACAGTGATAAAAAAACTGATGGGATTTTTGGTGATTTTTTTAACCTTTCTTTTAAAAATGTACTTGCAGTATAATTTAACTTTTTGCACTCAGAAATAAATAAAGCTGATTTGAAGTATCTTAAGAAATACCTTCCATATTTTACTTTTCATGGCAGATAGAAGTTCTATTAGGAAGTATATGGTATAAGAATCCCTTCCTAATCTTTGAATTAAAAATAATCCAATTGCCAGGTGCTGGTGGCTCCCACCTGCAGTCTTAGCTACTCAGGAGGAGGCTGAGATCTGAGGATCATGTTTCGAAGCTATCCTAGTCAAGACAAATCCACAATTCTCCTGTCCAATTAACCAGCCAAAAGCAAGAAGGTGTGGCTGAAGTGGTAGAGTAAAAAAAAGCCAAGTGTGACTGAAAAACCAAGTTCAAGCTCTGTAGTGACATCAATAAATAAAAAGATTTACAGTTCACGAAAATAAAAATGGCACTTGAGTCTCTCTGTAAAAGATGCTTAGTAAGACAGAGACTCAAAACTCGTAAATTCCACAACACTTTCTACTCAGTTAACTTAATTTTCAAAGAGAATAATTAGCATATTATTAAGCTATTACTGAATTGCACATCAAATCCCTATGAGCTCCAGCAATTGTGCTCTCAAAAGAAAATAGACCAAATAATGACAGCAATGTAGAGACAGTTTTGAAAGACATCCTTGAAAGACAGATGAGAAATTATGAAACTTTTCTGAATATGGAAATTCTTGAGTGCCGCTGCTTTGAAAAATTACCTTATGAAAAATCTAATCTTAACTTAATATACCTTCCTCTAAAATTCTAGAAACCTTGGTTTACTTCTTGTCCTAGCCAGTAAACCTACAGCAGAACCCTGTTACTTTGGGTTCACTTCATCTCCCAACTGGAGTTCTGTCAATATTACTGTCTAGCAGCCTAATGTCAGAATTCCTATTACATCTAGATACCATAAGCATAGCTGCTATCATCTTTTCTATTCTCCAAATCAAATGCATTAACAGATTTTTTTTAATCAAAGCAAACTTGTCTTTGTGCCCACCGACAATTTCAACCATTTTCCTTATATTATGGACAATTAGTGTGTTAAATTAAGTCAGAAGTTATTCCAAAGAAGATAAAGCAGGAATATACATAGAAGTTCAACTTTTACTACACATTCATCTGCACAGCAATTGTACACACACACACACACACACACACTCCCCTAAAACACAAGTAGCTATGACTATAATATACAGTCAAATCATAATATTTTTATTTTCAAAATAACAAAACCCACAGACCTTTAGTTGTTCATCTACAACTCTTGTAACTTCTCCAGCCATTGATTCCAGCGTCTCTTGAATTGGATTGGATAATGAGCCACTGGCTCCTGCCCAAGACATACCACCAACATGGTATAAATTTGGTAACAACTGTAAAAAAAATTTCAATAAATAACAAAACCACTGCAGTGAAAAGGTGAAGTATTATTAAAGATCATCATAGTCAAAGCTTCTTTACACAGATTAACAAACTGAGGTACAGACTCTATGAACATTCACTGTTATTCAATAAATCACAACTAGCCTAAGAATTCATATACTGGCATTGGAAGACCTTTATTTGACCACTTCTGTCATTCAGCACCTTAGAAATCTTTGTACCGTTGTATCCTTATCTGGAACATGAGAGTTGAGTCATTTTAATCACACTCTGTCACCAAAAGTTTAGGGGTTTGTCATACCAAATAAGTCTCCAATTCTCTTCAGATAACAACTGAGTATAACAACTCTGGGTCTATCTGCCTGGAGTTAATGTCAGATCCCATGTAAGAAAGCTCAGCCCCATTGGACTGTCCCGACTCTTCAGTTTACAGCCACAAATCATTTGTCATCAGTGGTATGTCTGACTATTAATTCAGGAGTTCCCACAACATACACTTCAGGTTCAATTACTTATCACAATGACCCAGAGAACCTAGGGTAGAAATTTGCTATCACTGTTTTTTTTTAAAAGAACACAACTCAGTAATAGACAAATGGAAGTCATGTAGAGGCATGGAGGACTTCCATGCCCTCTCCACATAGGTATGCAACCTTCTTAGCACCAATCCAACAAGTTTTTGGTATACCACTATTTAGATATTTTATGAAAGTTCCACTACAGAGGTATGGCTGATCAAATCATTAGTCATTGGTGATTGAATCCAATCTCTAGTTGTCTAAGTTTACAGAAAGTTTAGAGGAAGAGCTGAAAGTTCCAATGCTTTAATCACATAGGGACTCACCAAGTTCTCTAAGAGGATAAACTCTGAGATGCTAAAAGGCACATGTTATCAGTAACAAAAGATGTTCCCACCACCTCTATCATTCAGGACATTGCAGGGGCTTTAGGGACAAACATAAATATACATTTCTTATTGTACCACAGAAGCATTAAACTAACTCGCAAGTTCCTCTCATTAATGATCCACAATGATTACGTGATCCTAATAGCAGAATGAAGACCAGGCCCTAGGTTTCATTAATTCCTGATTACTCCCTTTTCTATTAAGTCACACTTGGGGAACCAAACCCTAATAAACATAATAGTAGCTCCCCTTTAGAGTTGACAAAAGAGAGTTTCACGTAATCAGCTTAGAAGTAAAATAATTTAAGTGAATTATTACTCAGTTAAACTATAACCACTTATCAGTTTTTCAAGGCTCAGTTATACTCTCTGTATATCACATTGACCCTCTGTTTTATTATCTTACATTTTCATTATTGGTAATCTTCCCAGGCACAGAAAGAAGAAAAAGATTAATTCAGTTCATTCGCCACTTGTTAATAACTTTAGAATACAGTAGAAAGGTAAAGAAAGTTGGAACCAGTTTCTAAAATTTAATTTTGACACCTTATTAAACAAGACCCTCACAAAGCCTGAAGTGACACTCACCGTTTTAGAGTTCTTAGCATCACGCATGAGCCGTTCTGCTGATTTTAAGTCTTCCTGGATAGCATCTCCCCCACAATTTCGTAAGGAGTTGAGATGGTCTTGTACTTTCACACATATCCTGTCAATCATCTTCACCACACCAGAAAAACATCCAGATCAACCAAGTTGAGGTTGAGATTAGAAGAAAAACGAAGAAAAGAAGATGAACATTCCCATACACAGAATGCATGAAGATGAATATATCTAACTGAATCTTCAATACTGCAGCTTATAACTAGTTATTCATTACTAGTTATTCATTAGTTTACCTATTCATGTAAGAAACCTTTGGCAACATTATCTCCAGAAAAAAGATCTACGGCATCTACGTTTCTTTCCTGCCTTAAGAAAAAGGCAGCACATAAAAATAAACAAATCTCTATTCTAAATCTTGTAGCTACTCAATAATATGCTGCTAGACAATAATTTTCCTTCAAAACTTTTAAAAAAACATTTTTAGTAACAGATTAATTGTGGGGTTTTACTGTGATATTGCCATACATAATTATAATGTGCCTTCATCAAACTCACCCTTCTTATTGCTCTCTTCCCCACTTCCCCACTGTGAATATGATTTCAACAGGTTTTGTCATTTATTTTCATACATACAAAGTATAATCATACACCCCCCTCCTTTACCCTTCTCTGTTCACCCTTTCCCCTCTACTAGTACCCATCCCTCAACAGGAAGTATTTTACATTCCAGTCACTCAGTGTGTATTAATTGTTCAAGAGAGAGTTCCGCCATGGTCTCTCTCTCTCTCTTTCTTTCTCTCTCTCTCCTTCTCATGTACACATGCACACACATATACACACACATAACACACACACACATACTACATTAACTAGATGAACGCCTTTATTATTCTCTCTTTCCTCATCCCTTCTACCCATCTAATATTCAATAGCTTTCTATGAGTTTCTTGATGAAACCCCTCTGTAATTTCATGTACAGATGCAATGGAGTTCAATATTATTCCTCTCTTCCATTTTCTTCTCCTTTATTAACCTTTATGAGCTACCCCTCTGGCACACAGAGTGGGAGGTACTGAGAAAGCAAATGTGTGATGTGGAGACAACTAGACTATAATGCGAATTGCCTATTGGTCCCAATATTAATCAGAACATCTTCTGGAAAATGACATGTTAAAAATGAATTCAACTACACCAAGTTTCTATTTCAGCTAAGGTCTCCCTCTCAGGCCAACTATACTTGAATCATTTTCACTTCATTGTGGAGACAGAGCTCTTGTAAAAGGTTAATAACCCTCTCTCTGTTCTTTCAGGAATAGATCAATTGCAACACTGGGTTGTCATAAAGTAAAACTTCCCCTTGTGTCTTGTCTCTTCTACATGTTCCTACTTGCTCTTTTGCTTCCCATCTTGCCCTCATCCTGGTGTCATGCTCTTGGACTTCCCAGCCTCCAGAAGTATAGGCCAAACTTCCATTCTTTTTTTCCCTAGTGTTAGGGCTTGAACTCAGGTCCTGGGCACTCTCCTTGAGCTTTTGCTGAAGGCTAATGCTCTACCACTTGAGCTACAGTGCCACTTCCTTAAACTTCTATTCTTTATTAATCATTGTATAGGCCAAAGTATACTTCTACTCTTTATAAGTCACCCAGGGATAGAAAGGGGAAACAAAGGAGGAGGCAACAATGCTTGATAAGAAATGTACTCATTTCCTTGCCCATGTAATTGTTACCCCTCTGTAGGGTATTTTCACAATAAAAATATACATATATAATAAAAATAAATAAAATAAATCACCCAGGTTTGGGTATGCTGTTATAGTTACAGGATATAGACTAAGACAGAAAGCAAAGAGCCTGAAGAAAAGGACAATCACAGTATGACTTAAAGGTTTTCTCCAGTATTTTCATCAGAACTATAGTTTGTCTATTGCATGTTCTCAGTAATTGTTCATTTTTTCAGAAATTTTATATGTCTAGAGTCCTATCCTGTTTGGTAACTCATTCATCAGGAGACAGTCTGATCAGACTCTTTGAGCTAAATTTTATTTTCTCTATTTAGTATGAATTATTTAATAATACAATTATTGAAAGTCTGCCCTTCCAATTCAGTAGTTTCAAAACAATATAAACTTTACCATACTACTTGGAAGATTTAAGAGTCTGATTATAGGGGCTGGGAAGGTGGCTTAGTGGCAGAGTGATTGCCTTGCATGCATGAGGCCCTGGGTTTGATTCCTCAGCACCACATAAAGCAAAAAGAAAAACCCCGGAAGTGGCACTGTGGCTCAAGTGGTAGAGTGCTAACCTTGAGCTGAAGAGCTCAGGGACAGCGCCCAGGCCCAGAGTTCAGGCCCCATGTCCGACAAAAAACAAAAAAAGTCTGATTGATTACAGAGCCCAGATCTACTTGCTGCAATGTTGACTCTTTTCTTTCTTTCATTGCTTCTTTCCTTCCTCCCTCTTTCCTCCCTCCCTCCCTTCCTTCCCTCCACCCTTCCTTTCTTGCTTCCTCCCTTCCTCCCTCCCTCCTCCCCCCACATTTGTCTTTAATAAAATCAGTCTTATAACATCTAGCCCCTCTTTTTTGGTACATCAAAAAGACAATCTGTGGGGGAAAAATCACATTCAAAGCATATATCCTGCTGATAAGGGTCAATAACACCAAGGTTACTACAGTAAGTGTAGTTTGATGTACTGCGCTATATAAGTGAACTATCTTAAGATTCCACAGAGAAAAAAAGTTCTATAACTAAAGCTTCTAAAACTCTTTTCAACTAAAATTTACACAGGAAAGTCAAGTAGGGATCACATCTAACTTTCCACATTTATACAAGATCTTGAATAGAGCTATCTACCTCTTAAAATTCTTAATTGCTATATAACCTAGCTCTTCTATCATATTGATCTGTACTTGATGAAACCAAAAATGATCATCAATAATTCATAGCTTACTAAGAATGCACTCCTAACTTCAAGAGACAAATGAATCACATACTAAAAAAAGGAACACTGTACATCTGGGGCCACAAATGGCGCATCTAAAAGGCATGTGGATGTGGCATTATAAAGTTTATCATCGTTAATAGTCATCAACAGACTGAAGACTCTCCTGAAATTTGACATTAAGTGTTCACTAAGGAGAGAAGATTTAGATGAACCCATTGAAAAACATCTTTAAGTGGAACACTTTAAAATCATGTCCAAAAGGAACATAAAAATTTAGTTCCTTAATTCAAATGACATAAAAATCTCATGTCTCTAAGGTTGTTCTGAGTATGAACTCAATTAAGTTTAGCACAATGAAATAGAGCACATGCAGATGCCAGAGTCCAAGGCATGGAAAAAATAAACTACTTAACATCAAATTGAATGATGACACAGGGGATAAACTAAACACTTTGAAGACAGGAAATCACTAAGTTTGACTTACAGTTAATAAAGTACATACTCAAATTGTGAAAAATAAAAAAGAATAAATGCTACAAAATTATGAACTCTTGAGTTATTCATCAGAAGAATTCTTGGTAGATGAATGGGTTTGGGCTTTTGAATTTAACCTTACTTCTTCCTTGAACCCTGGTGTTCAATTTTCTTTAAAAAAATGCAAACAAGAAAAGATGTTGACTGTCATAGTTTCAGAAGCTCCTCTCTTTCTAAGGAAATATACACTCTGTCATTATCATATTCTTTTTTTATTTCATATACTTATTTTTGTTCCGGTACCAGGACTTGAACTCAAGGCCAGGGCACTCCCTTCAGATTTTTCACACATGGCAGGCACTCTACCACTTGAGCCACACGTATACGTCTGGCTTCTTGCTGGTTAACTGGATCCGAGTCTCACAGACTTTTCTGCTTGGGCTGGCCTCAAACTGTGATCCTCAATCTCAGTCTCTTCAGTAGCTAGAATTTCAGGTATGAGCGACGGGGCCTCACTAATCTTTGGGTCCTGATCTGTCTTCCTATGACGTTCCTACAGTTTCCGTATCTTCCCCTTGAGAATATCTTGAACAGTCACACACTGTCTTCCTTGAGAGTCAGCTAACTTCTTTGGTGACCACAGCACACAGCAAATTCATATATTATCCTTGTTGGCAAATGCTTTGGTTTTGTTTTCTTTCAAATAGACAGTGTTATTGAACCCAAGTTTATGATTTAAAACTATTAGTAATGAAGGTCAATGTTGGTTAATCATAACTTGTTACAACTGTTCTAAGTACCAGACAACAGTTTGTTCATGGAAAAACTTTTATCTTCCTATATGTATATTTCTGTATTCAGGAAAAATACACGAAACACCTGGCACTAAAGACAGACAGTCCTGAAGAAGTATATCCTTGCTATCAAACACCTTAAAAACAGAAATGGAGGGCTGGGGGCATGGTTCAAGTGGCAGTACTAGACCATAAAATCCATAGACATGGAAAGAAATTTCACAGTAACAAAATACAAAATGCCACACAATGCAATATCCATAAGAACATGAACATTTGTTTTATTCACTGATATGATTTCTTGTTTCTTTCAATAATGTCTGACATATAATTGACTCCTATTAAGTGTTTATTCAATGATAAATGAATTGTAGGAGTTTCTAAGAAATCTCACCCAACATGATACCAGCTTGAAGCCAAAGACAGTTTCTTAGCTAGCTTGAATGATTTTGCTATGTTGCTCAAGCTGGTTTAAAACTCCTGGTTTAAGTAATCCTCCTAACTCAGTTTCTCAAATACTAGGATTACAGACATGTGCTATTGTGCCTGGTTAAGAGACGAGACTAGGCAAAAGGATGAACACATGTAGCAACATATCCATATACTTGTGACTCCTCTGATTTCCTGGTTAGGAGTGGAAGGACCTTCCAATGGGAGAGCAGGCTGGACCACTGAAGGCAAATGGTATAGGACTGCAGCACAGTAGTCTACACACAGTATAGAGGCTAGCAACAGAAATAGAAAGACAAAGAATGGCTGTAAAAGATGCTTCATAGGTAAAAGGCCAGGCCCTAATAGCCATGGGATGAGAACAGCAAATGAAGAGAGCAAAATGACTCCCAGGGTCTAGCAATGATGTGAGAAAAAGAAATGGAAAAATCAGTTCAATAAGATGAGTTTTGTC